TCTGTTTTTAATATAGTATTCTAATACTAATACTTTCAGATTTAAATATAGAAAAAATTATTATTTTTCTATTTTAAAATATTAGACAGCTTTCTAATAAGTTTTATTTTAGATTCAGGTTTTTTCTTATATATTTTAATTATTATATAATCCTACCTCCTGTTTCTCTTTGTAGTTTATAATTAAAAAATATTTAAAAAATATAATTAAATATACTCTAGTTATAATTAAAGATACAGTTATATAGTAATTATTTTCTAATTATTAGAGTAATTAGATTATATAACTAGTAATTTAAGAGTTTTTCTCTAAAAATAGAAGATTTTATTTATATTAAAAGAAAGTATTAGTTTTTTTATTATTTTATTCTTTCTAGTATTAAAGCTGGAAATTATATTAGTTTAAAATAAAATATTATTATATATATCTCTCTGTAAGTCTTCTAGATTTAAAAAAATATTTAAGATTTTTATAATTAGTAATAATTTTAAATTTTTTTTATATAGAATATAATTCTATATTTTATTTTTTAAAATATTATATAATTATTAATAATTTTTTATTATAAATCTTATAATTATATTCAGCAGATAAATTTTTTTTTAAAAAATATATATACAGCTGTAATATCTTTTTATTATTAAATTAAAAAAGTATTTTTTTAATAATATATCCGGAAGAGTCTGTTTCTACTATAATTATATAAGAAAAATTAAATATTACTAGTACTAGTTCTATAATAAAAAAAAATTTTAGTTTATTAAAACTTAACTAATAATTTTATATCTAGTTAAATATTTTATTTTTCTCAGTTAATTTAGTAAATAATTATATAATATTAAAAAATTTTTAAATAAACTTCTAGTAAAAATTAATAAAATTTAAAAATTTTTATATTTTTTTTACTATTTAAAAAATCTTTTATTTCTAAATTATTTAAATCTTTTCAGAATCTATTACTATTTTTTTATCTATTTATATAATATATTCTAGATATTTTATTTCTTAATATTTAAACTTATATTTTAATATATTAAAATATAAGCCTGTTTTTTATAGTTTAGTAAGTACTTTTTATATATACTTTTTATATTATATAATAAAGCTGTTAGTAAAAATAAAAATATTATTAATATAAGCAGAGCAGAATTTATTAAGATATTTTTATAAAGTCTAATTAATATATTTCTGGAAGATATTTAGAGTATTTATTAAATTAAAAGAAGTTACTAATTATTTATAGAATCTATATCTTATATAAAAGATTATTATCTATTCTTACTTTTTTATAATTTAAATCTTATAAAAAACAGCTAATATATTAAATTTAATAAATTATTTTATTTTACTAATCTGTATAAGAGTTTTCTGGATTAAAAAAAAAAATTTATTCTTTTTTATAATTATATTCAGGGCCCGGTAATTAATATAGAATTATAATTTTTTTTTTAATTTTTATATAAAAAAAATAGAGGCAGCTGCTGAGGAATAGTTTATTTAAATAAAGTTTTTATTAAACAGGTCTGTAAGAGTTTTTTATAATATAACTAGTTTTTTTTAAGTTATATTATATAATAGTCTCTAGAAGATAAATAATTTTTACTTATTTTATTATATAAGTTTAATCTTATAATTTATTTTTTTTTTTTTAGTAGAAAGGTAGCTTCTCTGCTTAATTCTGTTTAAATAAATATAAGAAATCCTGATACTGTTCTAGTAATCTTATATAAGAATTAATTCTTTTTTTTAGTATTAAGATTTTCTAAATATTATTTATTATAGCAGTAAAAATTTATATATTATTTTTTTTTTATATAATAAATATAAGCTTTTATTATAACTGCTGAAATATCTTTAATCTTCAGATTTAGAAAAATCTATTTTTTTTTATTTTATATTTTAGCTCCTGTTATATAAAGATATAACTTTTCTTATTTTAGTTTAAAGTAAGTATTATTATAGTAGAGCTAGAGGAGTTTTAGAATCAGATTATAATTTAGATAATTTTTAAAAATATAAAAAAATATCTATTCTTCTAAATATATTTTTATATTAAATTTTATTTATATAATATAAATAATCTGTACTTTTTCTCTAGTTATTTCTCTTATCGGCTTTAGCAGTATAGATATCTTCTGGAATTAATATTATTATATAAAATATTTACTAATTATACTATAGATTATATAATTATTATTAATAAATAGTTTTACTAAAGTAGAGTAGTTAAATAATAAATTAATTATAAAAAATCAGAAATTTATATATAAGCTTTTAAAATTCTGTTAAAAATTAAATAAATACTTCTTAGCTATCCGGAGCTTTTATATATATTTTTATATAAGAATATTTAGTTTTCTAACTTTATTCTAGATTTATCTATAATATAATTTTTATAGTTATTTTTTTCTTCAGTTCCAGTAATTACTACTGTAATTATATAAGGTCTAGCTGCTGAAAGTAGGATATAATTCTAGATAAAATATTTATTTTTATTATATTAAATATAGGTATTTTTCTGTCTATATATCTATAATTTATTAAAAAAGATTTATTTTATTTTTTTTTTTTACTAGTTTTTTTTATTTTTATATAAAGAACTGCTATCTGAGTTTAGAGTACTACTATCTAGCTAGTAGTTACTTTCTAATCTATATTATCAGGATTTTTTTTATTCTTATTCAGGAATAAAACAGGAACTATTATTATATAATTTATTTTTTTTTTAATTTAAATTAGATATTTTATATTATATTTAATCTTCAGGAGTTATTTACAGTATTTTTTATATAATTAAATATAAAATATTTTTATTATTATTTTAAATAAGTTTAAATTTATTATTATTTTAACTAATATTTTTTTTTATTTATTATTTTATAGTATATCTCCTGTATCTATAAAAGTCTGATTAAATTTATTTAAGAATTTACAGAGGGTTCTTTTTTTTATTTTATTATATTAACTTATATAAAAGCTTTTTTTTTATAGTTAGGATTAGAATATATAAAATCCAGTTAGTTATAAAACTTAGGAAAAGTTAGAAGCTGATTATTTTTTTATTATATAGTAATTTAGAAAAAAAAATATTAGCTAGTTTTTTTTTTAAATCTACTGTAAATATATAAGACTTTTATATCTTTAGAAGAGAAGATATTTTTTTTAATTAAAAATTTTATATAAAAATTAATAAGAAAAAAATAATATTTATATAGATTTTCTCTATTAAATAGAGTAGAGTCCGGGTATTATAAGTAGTAGGCTGGGGTTGGTAGTACTGTAGTAGGAACTGGTTAGATTATATAAAACTTATAGAATTAAGCTTGTAAATCTATTATCTAGTTTACTAATTTTTATATATATTTATAGTTATTTATTTTAATTATTATATAATCTCTACTTCTCTCTCTGAGGATATCTCTGTAAGAGTTTAGTAAAAGAAATAATTTCTAATATAAGAAGAATCTTTAGATTTATATAATTAATAGAAGTATCTATAAATAAGAAAGAATTATTAAAGAAGAAATCTTTATATTATTAGAAAGGTGGTCTTTTATCCGTTGGTTCACCGCTCTTTCGTACGAGGAACAAAGTCGGAGCGAGGCGTTAGCCGAGCCATTCCTTTAGGGCCAGGAGCTTCCCGCCTGGACCCGTAACAATTTAATATTTAAAAATTAATAAAAATAATTTCTTAGAATAGTATCTAAAGATTTATACTATAATATTTAAGAAAATTAATATATATAATATCTTTAAGACTTTAGACTTAGTTCTATATAAATTAAGCCAGATACTTAATAAGCTGATTTATAAAGATTTTTTAAACTGACTAAGCAGCTAAGATTCTTAGTCTATATTTTTAAAAATACCAGTTAATATAAATCAGTTTAAAAAGTAAGAATTAAAACTTTAAGAACTGGTTAATAGTATAACTAATATACTAATAAAATTAGTCTTAAGCTATATTTTTAAGAATATTAAAATAGCTCTAAACCGGACAGTCTTATTAGAGCAGGAAGTCCAAGAACTATACTAGATAAATAAAAGATTAAATACTAAGAAATAGTAAAATAAAAAACAGATTAATAGTCTGAATAATCTTACTATTAATAAAGTAAGGAAAGTATTCTAATATAAGAGAAAGAAGAATAAAGTAATTTATATAGAGAGTTAGCAGTCTTACTGTCAGATATCTCCCCGGTATAGTAACTGCAGTATTCTGGGCTATATATATATAAGATATCCTAACCAAGGAACTGGATAAAAAGATATTTAAAATAATATAATTAAGGCTTTAAAACACTATATTTTTATATACAAATCAGAATTCATGTTGGTGAGGCATTTAGTAAGGCATTTGGGCGGTTTGGGTGGCTCGCTCGCTTGCGTGGCTCGCTCGGTTGACGATTAGATTAGTTAAAACATTATACAACTCAACCAATCAGACACTTTGGCCGAGTGGTTAAGGCGCAGGCCTGCTATTCACCAGTCTTGCGACTGGTATAGTATAGCCTGTGGGTTCGCCCGCCTGGGTTCGAGTCCCAGAGGTGTCGCGTATCCTTTTTGGACTTTTTTTAACCTCATCAACAAACCAAACAAGCTTCTTTGGCCGGTCGAATCTGATAGAGAGAGCAATCCCTATCTGTCTCGTGTTGGATGCGTCCCTGTGGCTGCCATATCTTTTGACGGGAATGAGTCAACCCTACCATCTACAGATAGTTACAAATTACACTTCAATAAGCAGCCATTGAAGCAACAGACCCACTGCAACCAACCGGACTCATTGCTCTGAAGTGTTTGCAATCTTGTCAAGGGGTCCAGAGCCCCAATCCTTTGGCCAGCAACGATGCAAGCTATCATGCATTGGCACATATATCTTACAGACAGTGAGCGAGTGAGTGCTACTAACATATATCCCCAAGATTTTACCTACTACTGTATGTGAGGCCAAAACAATAGCCCGGAACACACCACATTCCCCCTCCAAGTTTATCTGACAGGACACTTTGGCCGAGTGGTTAAGGCGCAGGCCTGCTATTCATCAGATTTCTGATGAAGTCAGCCTGTGGGTTCGCCCGCCTGGGTTCGAATCCCAGAGGTGTCGAAAATCTCTTTTTTTTTTAACTTCCTTCTTACAGTATAATTTTTAAAATATCCTTTTTATATTCTGTTCATTTCTCAGCTGAGAACTATATCAACAGACAGACTAATAATAAATAAACTTTGCTGTGGACTAACTGCGGGATAATAGGTAAAACATCATACAACGCAACCAATAAGACACTTTGGCCGAGTGGTTAAGGCGCAGGCCTGCTATCCATCAGATTTCTGAGGAGGTCAGCCTGTGGGTTCGCCCGCCTGGGTTCGAGTCCCAGAGGTGTCGCATTTTCTATCATTTTTACTCTCAGAGCTCTCTTTTCTTTTTAGCTAGTCACTATATATGTGAACGAACACCTTTTTAAAAACTCATGATGAGCAGAGTCCTGCAATATCGCAATATTAAATCCGCCTCTGCTGTTTGAAGGAAGAAGAGTTTAGAAAGCGGAGCAGTCTATTGTTTCAATTGAGCTCCCAGAAAGAAAAAACATCATGTGGAAGTGCTGTCGTTCGGTAAATGTTGCATCCTACTACTACTCTATCAATGTCTCATGTATGTCACAGGATAATTACATGATATCGTGAAGCTCCCATATAAACTGAGTGGGCGGTCATCCATTGTAGAATAGAGCCCTTCAAATGGATTAAATATGCCATGTATGGGCAGATTGAAATTGCCATATAGTATAACTCTACTAAAATAATATACTACCTAGATGCTACATACTGGATAGAGCATACGAAACCTGGGGCGGCTTGCCTCCTAATATATTGTTATATCTAAGAAAACAGCGAGAAGCTCCGCCCTGCGTGTCTGAAGCAATCTTTACCAACCAGGAGGGCGAAAAGCTGTCTAGTTGCATAGTATGAAAGCTTGCTCTGCTCGCCAAATTTAATACTATCACTGGTATTTTGTACCTATTATGTAGAAGCCGGGGGTCTGAAGGACGGCTAGCCCCCCAGTACAATTCTATAGTTTACAATAACCTAGGTAGCGAAAAGCTTTACTCTCTTTCTCTCGAGAAATTAAGACTAGCTTGATCCCTACAAGGATTGGGTATCTTGGGGAGCGTACAGCTAGGTAGTATGCAGGTTTACTATTTTGGATATTGATTATGTTGGTTCAGTGGCGGAGCTGTCACTATTCTCTATCCCCATTCAAGAATATTTTTGATGTTATAGAATACGTCTCTTATATAATATCCAGACTTACAGGCTTCCAGGCTGGATATTGATCGGTTCTGCTTGAGTTATGTTATTGTGTCTATTGTTGATCTAGGTATAATTTATAATTTATAATTTACAGTTACAGATCTCAGTACCTGACATGTGGTTTACAGGTGGGCGGTGGAAGTAAAAATTTAGAGTAGAAATTGTTCTGACTACCGGAAGTAAAAAAGGCATTCAGAATTTGGGGGTCGCTAGATAAAAGCATCTAGATTATATACAGGGATATTGATACGGTGTTCAATACCAAAGGACTGCTTAACACCCTATCCCCTCGACGTCGTTATGCAGTCATTTTAGCGTGGTAGAGGCAGCAAGCCCACCTAGTGTATGGAATTGGTGGGAAGTTCTTCCAGGCAGAATATAGTACAGAGACAGTCATTGGATACTACCATGCAATTTATAAGCGCCTGTCCAAGTCATGCTAAAATAACCGCATATCACGGGTCTAGGGAGTATATCTACAGGCTTAAACCCCTTGACAGAAGTTAGAATACAAAAAAAAAAGCATCATCATCTTATAGTTAGTTTAGATGATATATTGAATTACGCTATGGTAATTGGTGATAGATAGATAGATAGATAGAAGATTGTGCAAAAATGAATAAATATATTGAATACCTAACAAATGAAATCCCAATCAGAGACTAGAGGGCACTAAGCCAAGCAAGAGAGATGGACAGCTACTGAAAGTAGAAACAATCACTGCCATCATACAGACTATCACCCTCCCACTTCCCGGGGGGCAGCCCATATGACACATGACGATTTGCAATGTTCATCACTTCTGCAGGGGGAAGTTTTTTGAATTCCTTCATTTTAGAATGGACCTCAAAAATATACTTCCTCCCGTTTTCATGAATGCTCAGATCTTTGAAAAAGTAGTATTGTCCGAAATGCTTCATGTGCTCTCCGAACGGCCCCGAAAGATCATCCAGGGTCACAAGATCATTCTCCTCATCCGCTACAAGCTCCCATAGATGCTGCACCACGCTGCTCCAGTGGAACTCATTCGCTGATCCGACGAGGTCCCGCAACGCGAGGAGGATTGTCCCCTCTATGTACCTGGCCGGCGTCAGGATCTTAACGGGGTAGTTCCCCGTGGGTTGGCGGCCACGCTCGTCAGGATGCTCGGGCAGACGGGCATCGGTGACGAGCATGTAGGTAGGGTCGTCAGGCGCGGGAGCACCCAAGGGCGGATCGGGAAAGGCCCAGAATACACGGGACTTCCTGTAGAATGTCAGGTCATGGGTAATTCCTCCGTGCTCAGAATCGGGTTTGACATGGATGTGCATATCCGGGGGTGGATGGAAACCGTGCCCGCTAAGCAGGTCACAGTTTCGATCGACACAAAGCGAGAATTTTTTGTTATGAAGGACCAGGCAGGTGACGCCCAGAAGGATATCGGGGATAATCCACGCAGTGGAATTCTATAGATCGTTAGCTATCATTGTCACTGAGAAGAAGTGCCCGCGGGGGGGGGGGGGATTGGAGATAGGGAGAGAGAGAGAGAGAGAGAGAGAGAGATACTTACTAGGTCGCTTTCCTCGCTCATGGGGAGCCCGTAAATGGACAACGCTGCCTCGGACCAGATGCAACTGGGAATTTCATGTTCTTCTAGAGAGAAAGCCACAAAGCTCTCCAGATCACACTCGCGGTTCCAAGTTTGAGACATGGTTCGGTTGTTCGAGGTTTCCATTTCTCGTTCTTGTTGGAGTTTTTGCGTTTGTCGGCGTGGACATGGACGACAGTATTTATGTAGTTCTTGTCGAGGTTTACCCTGACTCGAGGAAACTGAAAGAGTGGAAAAGACCATTGAAATGGTAGTAGTACAAGGCGATTCCTGGTAGGGCCCCATCCTCGAGTGAGTCTTGTGTCACAAGGATAGCTCCTCGTTTGATCGGGCTGGGCAGGAATCAACCGGTACTAGACAGGATCATGAATATCGGTAGTCATCGTAATCGTGATGCTGGATCAGTTTGGTAGAGGACAATTGCCGAATTGCCAGGAGAAATACAATAAATAGCCATCGGAGATTAACCCCGCCGCGATGGAGGTTGCCTCTTTGCTCAGGTATAAATCGCCCATCGCCCATCGTGTCAAGGGAAACCCGAAAACCAAGAAAGTCGCTTCCAATGACAGCTCTAGTAATAGATGGTAAGTCCCTGGCAAGGTCTCTCGGAGACCGAGAACAAAGGTGATTTCCATCGAGGAATGATTCTGGACATGTATAAGCTCGTACTATTGTCCGCCACCAACTAACAATGCGGGGAAAAAGTCACGAACCAATTTTGATCCGGGAAGCCAGAGATGGCACATTTCAACCCCGACACGGGCCTAAATAGTTAATCTAAGTAGTATCTACACAGTAGTAGTACTAAGTATAGCCCATGTGGGAGTGGGGCAGGGACCCATCCGGGGGTGCCTGACGCGATTGGCCAATGCCAGGCATCCATCCCCGATCTCCGGGCGAGTCAGGAAACAGGAACACCTTCGCTAATCGCTGCATTGTACTAACCGCGATGCCTAAATTTATGGTTAAATCGTAGTTTTTTTGATCGGTTCCTTCTTCCCAGGCCAAGTCCATGCCCACTGCCCCAGGGTTTCATAGTTTATACAGCCTGGCTTCAACCCTCCCCGTGCCTCTGCCTCTGCCTCTGCCTCTGCGGCATCGCGAGCATCACCCCACCGCCACCAACAACAACAAACGCCATCCAATCGACCCGGTGTCACGCCACGATCATGGTCTGATCAACCATCCATTTCAGCCCAACCGTTCAGCTATCTTCCATCTATCGCCCCCCTGGGTTGATAGGGACCGCACAAATGCCAGGGGCATCGTGGCGCGCATGTCCCCATGTCACAAGGCTGGCAAAAATCAGACGGGCACGTGTTGATCGCTCTGATTGACTACTGGGTGTCGACCCCTCGCGCCCTCGCCCAGACACCACTAGGTGAGTGTTATCTTGGAGATCAGGGCCTGTTGCCCCTATCTCCGACCTATTCTTGACACATTAGACTCTTCACTGACCCGATAAGAAAGCCCGTTGTCTCCTGATCGAGAGCCAGCCAGCCAGCCAGCCAGCCAGCCAGGCCACCGTGCCTGTCCACGTGGACATACACAATAATGCCATGGTCCAGTCTAGATCCCACCTCCTGTCTCGTGTTTGTGGCCTACACGCGAAGCTCGGTGAGCTCAACAGGGTATCCGTGGTATCCGGCTTGTCATAGCCTCCTCATCCACTTACCGGTTCTTCCGTTGTGACATCATCTTTGGCTGGATGGGCGTGAAAACCTTTGTGCCCGCGATGATCGCTTGAGCTTGACCAAACCTTCGAACCCTAAGGGGGGAGGGGAATTTTGAGGCTTGAAGGTTAACCTTTTAAACGGGCCGCACTTATGGATTGCTCCCTTAAAACACGAAGGTAGCCCCCCAGAAAGGCTACTTTAACCGAACTAGGATGCAAAGACCAGGCAGACAGCAGCCCTTGCTGTCACGCAACCCAATCTTGGACACTGATATGCAGCGGCCCAGCTCCAGAACCCATCTGATGTAATGAGCTGATATGAAACAAACATGACCTGGTTTTGAAGTCATGTGGCCACACTCTGCAGGACATGCTCTATTATAAACTGGTTTTCCCCGATGCACTAGTATGGCAATTCCCAAACAGTTCACCCTCAGCTTGTACTGACGTCGCCCAGGAGGAGGTCTCCACTCCCTCCTAGAAATGCTGCGGCAGTCGCTCTCCTTCGTGAAAAATGCGACCCAGAGGCTCT